GAACGATCGTGTGGGTCCTGTGGTGGCAATGCTGTGTCCTAACTTTAGACCAAGTCCGGGTAGAAGGAGAGGAGAGGGTTGAGCAATTCAAAATGCTCTTCCAACTGGAGCCCTCGCATAGGTGGAAGACAACTAAGCAATCACTCATTGTAAAATGCAAGTATATCTGCGTGGTCCATCGGGATCATAATTCTTATTGGCATAGGAAGGCTTGACAATTTTCATAGATTAAAAGACATCCAGGAACGACTACTATAGTTCTTTGGGGAATGGTTGGGCGGGGAATGGGAGGGATGGGTAGCGGAAGTGTGCTGGACAGGGAAGTGGGAAGGAGAGGAGGGAAGGGATGGTAGCCAAAGAGAGGAAGTCCCAAGGGATTACCGCCTGAGATTCAAGGAGTGACTGTCAATAGACTCTGGCATCCCCATGAGATCGGCAAAGGAGTTTTCAGACCCATTCCCCCCCCCCCAAGGTCCCTGGAAATACGTTTGTAAGTCCCTGCCAAGTGAAACCCATGAATTCTCAGAATCCAATCTTTTGTTCTATTTTGCTTCAGTTTGTAAAGCTTTCAATCTTTTGACTTATTCTGTTCCATTCTCTAACCAGCATTCTGACGCAGTAAAGGGCGGGTGGTAGCTGGGTACGCCCAGCAGAGGACAGTACCATAACATGTTTTTTTTTTTGGCGGATGGGCAGGGAGACGGAAGGAGATCCCACTGGTGCCCCCCAGTGGCTCCTCCCGGAACCCTGACCAGACAAAGGGTTGGAGAAGGGGATGAGGACACCTGCTTTCGGTCCCATTGGTCGGGTCATGCTTATATCTGCTCACTCAATCCTCTGGATTCCAGAGTAATCAATGCTGGCAGACGCATTCCAGACACCGTCCTGTTACTCTTCAATGTATCATTTTGTATCTATCTCATACTTGCGGCGCATCGACATGCGCTACACCGTGCACACGGGGTGCGGCGCACCCCGAAAATAAGGGGTCGAGAAAAGAAAAAAAAGTTGGGAAGGGGTGTTTTGGACCCGAGTTTAACAAAAATTTGAGGCCGCGCGGGTCTATGGAAAACAATCCAAGTTAATCATACTCACAGAGTAAGTCAAGACCACACTCACAGAGTAAGTCAAGACAGAGTAATCGCACCACAAATGTTCACACCACACGTACACAGTGCTGGAATGATACGATAGAGAACACAAACGGCGTTACCATTCATTCCATAACCCAGGAACCACCAATCATTCCACAACCACGGTCTATTGCGGGGGACCGCAATGGACCAACCGCCGAAAGAGGACTACGACAGTACCAAACACTAGCTTAAGTACTACGTGATTGGCGCTATTGTCGACTTGCAACCTCGGTTGACAACTATTTCTCCAGTCGAACCTTCCATAAGAAACGCCGAGAGAAACGTAATGATTACTCTAGCAGTCTGCCGCTTGAAACGGTTCAGTAATCCTGCCTAAGGTCGTAGTGTCACTCTTATGGAGCCAAAATCCAAAACCGAAACAACAACAGGGCCTGGGCTCGAAGGGCCCCACCAAACTAGAGCCAAAACACAAGACCAAAACCAATTGACAGGGCCTAGGCTCAAAGGGCCCCAACAAACACAAAGCAAAAGGCCGAAATCCAAATCCAAACGCCCGGACTCCAGGGCCATCAGTCGTACTATTGACCATCTTCGGAGGTCTATATGAAAAACCCCTGTTACTACTTCGTAGGAGTTCAACCACTATAGTTAGAGGTACTATGGCAAGTCCCCTGACGCCGCAACAAAATACCCGTCACTCCTTTATCAAGTTTCAACCATCGTGGATCGCAACAAAACAACTATCCTCAACTTACCAAATCGACCGCCAATTTCCAGTGGGCGTCCCGCCCGTGGGCAAAACGTTTGAGATTACGAAGAAAAAAGTCCTAAGGACAGTCCTTCAACCGTGATTCCCTCTTTAAAGATATCACTCTCCTTATAATTTTGCATCTTGCTGATGTGTTACGGTCGATACGGTGCATGTGGCTATCTAAGACGACACTTTTCTGCATTTTGCTGCCCCACGACAGATAGGACTGACCATTGAAAAAAGTGAATCGTTCATCCTTCCACAACGACTCCTCATTCTTAGAGACTTGCACACATTCCACCAAGGGAAATTGACCATTGAGGTGAACCTCACACCCCAGGAATTCCCAGGACCCCGTTCCATCATCCGTTCTTTTTAGTGTGAGGTTATCAGGATAACAGTTTGCAAATCCCGAAAATATATCGGCCACATTCGCAGCTTCCAGGCGCCCTGCAGCGATGAGCAAACTCACATGATCAATCAATCGGAGTCCAAACACCGCACCACGCTGCTTTCCCAAGCTATGGAGAAAATTGTACTCATAGCGTGCGCACATGATGCACACCAGAGGGGGAGATGTGCTCTTCCCCATGGGTATCCTGATCTTCGGCTGAAGCTGGACCCCTAATGCATAAGTGTAAGTGTGAGTAAGTTCGAATCTCACGAATTTGCGAATTTCCTCAAAAGCAACCTTCCTCCAGTGGTCATAGCCAGTCGTCAACCCAAAGCTAGGACCCTTTTCCCTGGTGTTCACTCGAACAAAAGTCCTCCATTTCTCGATGTGAAACCCCAAAAGCCAGTCAACTGCTTCCAGGATATCGCCATGTGGCAAGAGGCTGAACATGTCCTTAATATCAAAGGATCATGCAACCATGCATGGGTCACAACCTGAGCGACCCAACCTCTTATTAACCCCTTCAAGTCTGTTTTTCAGCATCGAGACCGCCTTAAGATTAAAGTGTCACTCCGCAGGGAGGTGGTCCAGAAGATAATTAAGGGCTTTAGCAACCGCTTTGCTTGTTCGTGTGGTTGGTTCAGAATAAGAAGGAGAGATGGGGCGAAAACGCTCCAGATCTTTATGTTTAGGCATGGCGAAAGCCTGACCAATTGAGCCTTTCCCGTTCCATTTTGCAAAGCCCAAAATACCTTCCGCTTTCAATGTTGATCTCATCTCATCCAAGACCAAACTCTCAATCTTTATTATGGGCACATACCCAACATTTCTCACAAACAGGGTCATCATCCCTTCGTAATACAGGAAAGGACACAACGCCAGAGTCTCCCTGGGGTTCCGGTCTAGAGGGGTCAGTACCATACCATTGAAAATCCTCCTCACTTCAGCGACTTCACCCAAATCCAACAACCTTCCCTCCTGCGTCCCAACATCCATCATGCAACGGGTCAATTCCACTGGGGAGCAACAAACAGTTTGACCCTTCACATTAGCCCAATTCGAGAAACCCTCACTAATCTCCTGGCCCAATTTCCTCACTCTATCCCGATGATTGATCTTCGGGATGTTATTACTGTTCATCAATAGCGGCGAGATACCCTTCACTTCACGTAACCGGACGCGCACGTGGCCTCGCACCCTTGGGTACGGCAAGCCTGCGCAGGCGCAGGGTGACACATCCAATCGAGCAAAAAATCGATGGTTGTGAATCAAATCCGCAACACTTGGATTACGCGTCCAAATGATACGGAGTGATCTTCACGCACGACGAGTTACACAAGGTGGAAGAGTCAACTCACCTAACTTATCGTTCACCAATTTAMGTACTTCGACCAGCCTAATACGAGAATAAAAAAACAGACGAAATACAATACGAGCAGAGAAATTGAAACCAAATCCCTCCTTCACACATCGACCAATCAGGCGTCGTAAATACGCTCGCGTGCTCTTCCTCCCAAATTCCTTGACCGTATTAAACAAGCAAGACAATGAATCCAGGTCCCATCTTCGGAGTGTATCGAGGCGTTTAGGGTTGCATAAGAGTGAGACCAGAAACGGTTTATTCACACTTCTTCGCGCCCTCCAACGTCTTAGATATAGAAACACAATGGACCCCTGGGCTTCAAATGTTTTTTTGAACTCCCTTAGATAACCAATTTTACCTTCATGCATGACCCGAGACTATCCAAAAGCCTTCCGTATCCCGATCCATCGATCACACCAGGTGCTTCCTCCCTCAATGTACAAAGAAAAATTACGCCATCCATTCTCATCCTGTCTACGCAGAAACCGGAAAACCCCGACCGACCATGCGTCATCCGTGTTCACTCGCACTCGAATCGAATTTATGGTCTGATTGTTGTCCCCCTCGTTCCTCCCCAAATTAGCCCATCTAGCCCGTTCTCTCTTACCACGTCGTCCACCTCTACGAGGATTATAGTTTTTTCCTACCGTGTTAAAAAATGGTGACGATTGACGAATGAATACAGACTCAACAGAGACCAGATCAGCGGGTTCTATGATTTCCACGGGTAACAGGAAATAAGATTCCATACCAAAACATCTCCACCAACGATACAAGTGCATGTTCTTCACATTTCGCTTACAAACAGACACATGCTTTCTCCATCTGGTCAATGGTGAACGGGACGTTTGACCAACGTAATGAGACTTACATCATATCCAGGTAACTACGTACACACAGTTCGGCTGCGTAAGGAAATCCAGACCAAAACGTAAATACAACTTAACCCAGGAATCAACACATTTCATGAGCCATTGGAAACGACCACACAAGGCGAGCAGTAAGGTTAGCAGACAATAGGTCAAATCCAGGGCTTCGTTCACAGTGTGTCTAAAGGAACTGATAACCTCGGCCACAACGACCCATTGTTGCGTAGTAAGCCCAGTTCAGACCTATGCTCCTTCGTCAGTCTCCTCCTGGCTAGACAGTGCGGTCCCTTCTTCCGAACTCTCCAGCGCCCCGAACTCGGGCAGCTGCTCACCGAAACGTACATGTGCCCGTCGATTAGCCAGGTCAAAAATGGCTTGCACCTTCGTAGCATAGTTCACTCCCTCTTTGTAGCAAAGAACCCGCAGTATGTCATAATCCAACTTCAATAGCTCCCTTCAAGAGCTATCGAGAAAAAGCATTCGTTCCATCATAAAATCTCTGGCCGGTGGTTTCACGGCGGTGAGCGCTTTGGTGGCCGCTCCCTTCGTCGATCGTCGGACAATGATCTTAGTGCGCGTTCATTGCAAGCGTTCAGAAAGGCGCACAGGACGAATGCCCGTTCGTTTACTTACTCGTTTAGCTGGCATTGTCACCGGTGGGTTGTCGCCCATTGGTGTATCCTCTCCACGCTTACGCTTCTCCTGTATCGACAAATTCCCGGCACCTTCAGTGATCGCCTCCACCTCGCTGGACGTACCAGATGTTGACGGAAGGTCTTCAATAGTAATCACCTTATCTTTCCCTTTGCCAATCGCTGCCGTTTTCGTTTGACCTTTGTCCACTGAATTCGATAACGCCTTACAGACTTCAGCTCTAATCTCCTCCCTAATGTCTCCGAGCGTCACCGAGAGTTGGACTTCGACCGCCTTCGCCATGGCTAGCTGTTCCTCCTCGCGTTTCCGCAATTTCTCCGCTTTGCGAAAAGCCCGCTCCGCCTCGGCTACCCTGGCTGCCTCCTCCGCCTGTCGGGCCTCCTCACGCTCCCGACGACGCTGCTCCTTCTCAACTCGTCTAACTCTTTCCATCTCAACAAATTCTTGGACAGATGCGACCGTCCTGCCAAGTTCATCTAGGCGAACGTCAGTGGCAGGTTCAAAAACCGGCAACTGCTGTGCTCGATCTCGAGGTGGCGATGCAGCACCAGCACTCCCATTAAACTCGGCTAGGCAGACATAACCGTATGCTTCCATTTGACACCGAGCCACCGGGTCAGTCCAGTACCTCCAACAGTCGGTACAATAATGACCGACCACTCTGCATCCATAGCATGTCGGTGGACCCCGGCATGAAGGGTCGTCCCTCCGATCATCACAACTGCTACTCCTCGAGCCACCGTGTCGCTCTCGACTGTCCTCTCTACCATCGCAGCGTCCACGTTCTGGCGAACGGGGTCGCCTCCCATCTCTGCTCCCATCCTGATAGCGTTCCCCAGCCATGCTAGCAGGGAAACTTTGTATCGTCTTCGCAGGTAGGTCGCAGACACGTCGCCAAGAGTAGACAAAAGACAAAAGACAAAGAACTGAAAATCGTGCCTACTCACTCCCAGTTAGACGACTCCAGGAAGGTTCACACGTGCATCAAAAGGTCTATGGAAAACAATCCAAGTTAATCATACTCACAGAGTAAGTCAAAACCACACTCACAAAGTAAGTCAAGACAGAGTAATCGCACCACAAATGTTCACACCACATGTACACAGTGCTGGAATGATACGATAGAGAACACAAACGACGTTACCATTCATTCCATAACCCAAGAACCACCAATCATTCCGCAACCACGGTCTATTGCGGGGGACCACAATGGACCAACCGCCGAAAGAGGACTTTTCAGGCTACAGTACCAAACACTAGCTTAAGTACTACGTGATTGGCGCTATTGTCGACTCGCAACCTCGTCTGACAACTATTTCTCCAGTCGAACCTTCCAGAAGAAACGCCGAGAGAAACGTAATGATTACTCTAGCAGTCTGCCGCTCGAAACTGGTCAGTAATCCTGCCTAAGACCGTAGTGTCACTCTTATGGAGCCAAAATCCAAAACCAAAGCAACAACAGGGCCTGGGCTCGAAGACCCCCACCAAACTAGAGCCAAAACATAAGACCAAAACCAATTCATAGGGCCTGGACTCGAAGGGCCCCAACAAACACAAAGCAAAAGGCCGAAATCCAAATCCAAACGCCCGGACTCCAGGGCCATCAGTCGTACTATTGACCACCTTCAGAGATCTATATAAAAAACCCCTGTTACTACTTACTTCGTAGGAGTTCAGCCACTGTAGTTAGAGGTACTACGACAAGTTCCCTGACGCCGCAACGAAATACCTGTTACTCCTTCATCAGGTTTCAGCCACCGTGGATTGCTACAAAACAACTATCCTCAGCTTACCAAATCGACCGCCAATTTCCAGTGGGCGTCCCGCCCGTGGGCAAAACGTTTGAGAGTACGAAGAAAAAAGTCCTAAGGACAGTCCTTCAACCGCGATTCCCTCTTTAAAGATATCACTCTCCTTGGAATTTCGCATCTTGCTGATGTGTTACGGTCGATACGGTGAAGGTGGCTAGCTAAGACAACACTTTTCTGCATTTTGCTGCCCCACGACAGATATGACTGGCCATTGAAAAAAGTGAATCGTTCATCCTTCCACAGCGACTCCTCATTCTTAGAGACTTGCACACATTCCACGACGGGAAATTGGCCATTGAGCCGAACCTCAAACCCCAGGAATTCCCAGGACCCCGTTCCATCATCCGTTATTTTTAGTGTGAGGTTATCAGGATAACAGTTTGCAAATCCCGAAAATATATCGGCCACATTCGCAGCTTCCAGGCGCCCTGCAGCGATGAACAAACTCACATCATCAATCAATCGGACTCCAAACACCGCACCACGCTGCTTTCCGAAGCTATGGAGAAAATTGTACTCAGAGTGTGCGCACATGATGCTCGCCAGAGGGGGAGATGTGCTCTTCCCCATGGGTATCCCGATCTTCGGCTGAAGCAGGACCCCTAATGCATAAGTGTAAGTGTGAGTAAGTTCGAATCTCACGAATTTGCGAATTTCCTCAAAAGCGACCTTCCTCGAGTGGTCATAGCCGGTCGTCAACCCAAAGCTACAGTCTTCCCCCGAACAAAAAACACATATGTACTATTCCACTTTGCCTGGAAAACTCGATTTTTCGAAGTAGCTCCTGAAAATCCGAATAGTACTGACATGTGTACTATTCGAATAGTATGCATCTCTCTCTCTCTCTCTCTCTCTCTCTCTCTCTCTCTCTCTCTCTCTCTCTCTCTCTCTCTCTCTCTCTCTCTCTCTCTC